AATGGATCTTCCTCCCTTTTCAAACACCAATCCAACTTTTTCTCTCTTGAATAACATTAATAAAAGTAATTGGAGAAGCTCTCTCTCTCTTTCTATCTCTCTCTTCAGCATAACATCCTCAAATATTTACAAGTGACCATCAACTCTTGAAGAATTTCCCTTCTAAGACAAATCTCCACTCAAGTAAGAGAGAGAAACAAGTACCCATACAAATAAAGAAAGGGAAACATGTAATGCAAGGCAAATTTCCCTCGAGCAAAGAAAGAAACTAGTGCAGGAACTAGAAAACTCAATTTCAATTCATTACAATATAATTCTCTTTAGCAAAGAGAGAGAACATTGTTAAGACCCGTTTGGATAGAAAGAAAATAAGAATTTTGGATATTTGAAATCCAAGAAAGTTAATAGATTTCTAATATCAAGGATTGGTATCATGGATTCCTCAAATTCTCTTATTTGGATGTACAGTACGAAATTCATTGATTCTTTACAATCATTTTCATCCATTTTTTATAACATTTGATATGCTCCCTCTCTAAAACTGAAAATTTGGGATCCTCTCTCTCTCTCTCTCAATTTTGACATAGCTCTCTCTAAAACTTCATACGGTTTTGCTCTAGAATTTTAATACACTTTCTCTTTAAAAAAACTTAAAATTGGAAATAGTTTCTCTGTAAAAATCTTAAGGTAATTTACCTCTCTAAAAATTTTAGATGCTTTATTATCTAGAATTTGATATAGTTTCTCTTTTTAAAATTTTGAGATATTCTCTCTTTAAAACTTAAAATTTGAGTTAATTTATAAAAAATTTAAGATAGTTTCTCTCTCTAAAAATTTTTAGGTAGTTTCTATCTCTAAAATATGATATAGTTTCTCTCTCTGAAATTTTAAGGTACTTTCTCTATCTAAAACTTTAATTTTGAGATAGTTTCTTTCTAAAAATTTTGAGATAGTTTATCTCTAAAACATTTTGGATACTTTCTCACTCTAAAATTTAATATAGTTACTCTCTCTAAAATTTTAAAATACTCTCTCTTTAAAACTTAAATTTTGAGATAATTTCTCTATCTAAAATTTTCAAGTAGTTTTTTTCTCTAAAATTTAAATATACTTTCTCTATCTAAAACTTAAAATTTGAGATTGTTTCTCCACCTAAAAATTTTGAAATACTCTCTCAAAAAAATTCAAGGGAAAGTATATAATGAGACCATTTACCTTTAGTACAAGATGGTCACAATTAATCTTGACTATTGGATGTGAAATTGGGTGGCTGCATTCATTTCATTGACAAACTCAAAGTTCAAAATAACTTTTCTCGATTTTTGTGACACACCAAAGCTATCAGATTTCACATAGGATTATTGTAAGTAATTGTGACTTCCCTATACCAAACGTAAATGGTCTCATTGTATATAATCCCAAATTTCAAGTACTTTCTTTTTCTAAAATTTGATATAATTTTTCTATCTAAAGATTTAAGATATTTTCTCTCTCTAAAACTTAAAATTTGATATAGTTACTCTCCCTAAAAATTTTCAGGCAGTTTCTCTATCTAAAATTTGATATAGTTTGTATATTTAAAATTTTAATAAATTCCCTCTCTAAAACTTAAAATTTGATATAGTTTCTCTCTCTAAAAGTTTTGAGATATTTCTCTCTAAAAAATTTTAAATAGTTTCTCCATCTAAAATTTAGTATAATTTCTATCTCTAAAATTTTAAGATACTGCCTTTCTAAAACTTAAGATTTGAGATAGTTTGTCTCCGTAAAATTTTAAGATGCTCTTTCTAAAATTTTAAATTTGAGATAGTTTCTCTTTCTAAAAATTTGAGATAGTTTCTCTCTAAAATATTTCATGCATTTTCTCTCTCTAAAAACTTTCATGCACTTTCCCTTTCTAAAATTTAATATAATTTCGCTCTAAAATTTAAATATGTTTTATCTTTCTCAAATTTGATATAATTTTCCTTTCTAAAATGTTAATATGTTTTCGTTCTTCAACAACATATGGGGCTATCAGTGCCACTAGGGTTCGTTTTCATTCACACATGAAAGATCCTCAGTCGTTAGGGTTGAAGAAGCCTACGGGCCTCAAAAAAATTAATCAATATAACTTACTGGAGAGCAGTGATGGGTCCATGAAAAAATGGATCGTTTCCATAAAATGTGAATTCCATCTATTTTGGTGGAATTGAGAATTCCAAAATTCAGGTTTAAAATGAGAATTCAGGAATCCCACATAAATCTTAATTCCAATAGAAATGTCAATTCTAAACGAATCCAACACGATTGTCGCGACCTTT